CCACATAATGTGCATCGTTGAACATAGGAAGGTTGAATGTACATAATCTTCAATGTTAGACCAAATTCTGTTTCAGTGAGGGATTCAATTTTAAAAATAAAATGTGAGATTAATGTGCTTATATGCATATTGATATAGAAGTAATGAGTAATTATCTTGTCAGTCTTTTTTTTTTTTAATAAAAAAGGTTATATTAGTTGCAGTGTGTAAAGATAAAAAGAATATCGTGTTCACTATAGGAACATGAGGCAGAATAGGCTATAAAATCAACGGTCAAAATATAAGTTAGAAAAAATATATCAATTTCTGATGACATAACGATGATCTATCTCATTGACTATTAACAACAATTTAACTACAGAATATATCGTCGCTTAGCTACAATAATATTTTTGTTGACGGGTTCTTGTATCGACGAAATGGTACGTCAATTCTAAACGACGATTAACCGGAGACCAAAGTTCGTAGGTTATTTAAGAACCCATTATTTGATGGGGTATTTACCAACAAGTTAATTTAAAAAGTGACAGTAATGATCGTCGGCAATTATGTTACAGACCGACGGATTTTAGACTGCATGTAAGTCCTAAGTAAATTCCTTAATTTAGCCCACCCCATCCGAATCCCTCATTTCCATTTCTTTTGTCCTCCAGTCCTGCTCGCGCTCGCCCTAGCTGCTTCCCTCCATTGTCGAAAGCCTCAGCCTCACCCTTGCCCTAGCCCTCTCTCGGTTTCGTCTAAAACCCTTGCCTTTGCACCCGAACCTTAGCTAGTTGAGATCGACTACGACGGGACCGCGGCCTACAAAGAACCGATACTCCCATTTTTCTCTTTCCACGCAACTCCTACCCAAAACCATTCACTAAGGTAACTTCTTATCTTCTTTTTCAGGCGATTTCATGTCTAAGGGGCAGCTTGGCTACACTTTGGATTTACATTAAAGGAGTGTTTGGCTGGAAGTAGGATTTAAGTTAAATATGATTTACTAAGAATTATTTGGTTGCAAGTAGGATTTAGTAAATCTGAATTTATCAAATTCTGATGTGATTAAATCTTGAAAAATCTCGAGAAACAAATTAATGACTTTAATAGGATTTATTAAATCCCACAAGGTTCAACTTCTCTAAATCCTGTAAATCCTACTTCCTACAAAATTTGATAAATCTTGGATTTAAGGCAAAATGGAGGAAGAACGAAATTTAAGAACTAGCAGGATTTACAAAAGCATTTTTTGTCGTTTGACATGATTTAGATTAAATCCTGCATTAATCCTACTTAAAACCAGCTACCAAACAACCTCAAAATTCCTATGAAATCATTTGTACGTTGATAGCCCTTAACTTTGCTTTGAAAAATTATTTATGGAAAGCCTCAAATAGCAAGTTTTAGTGACCATAATTAGCACGCAAACATCATTGTTGTTACCTCAGGAAGAATTTTGTAAATAAATTCTAAGATATCTCCATAAGCTTGAATAGTTTGATGCTTGATTCATTATGATCATGAAAATAAAATGAAACTAAAATAGTCATTTTGGTTATTGTTTTTATTTTTCTATTGTTAGGATACTCCTTATAGTGCAGAACAAACTGAAGGAGTAATGTGGCTTGGAGTTGAATTTTTTACCATATTGTTCTTATATTGAGTTGAGTTGATGTTATTCTCTTTTGATAATGTGTATTATGTGGAAATTTTGGCTAATGCATTGTTTTTTTAGGATTGACAGGCCGTCAATAAACTTTCATCGTGTTGGATTGAATTTCTGATATTGAACATTATTTCTTATGCTTTGATTTGGTTTTGAGCTAAATCTTGTTTATGATGGTTAATTTACTGTTGATAAGCTTATATTTTCTCTTTGATCTTCACTTGTCGTTGAGATTGGTTTTTGTAGCTGTGATGAATTCCGACTATCATTAAAATTCAACTAGTTTTGAATATATTTTTATATGCTCAAAATCTAGGACAAAATTTTAATGTTTTCTGCAGCTAAGTTATGAGTTCAGTTGATTATCCATCTTCTAGTTGATTATCCATATTCTCTTTGTTTTGGTGGTTTGTTTCTTTTCTTTTTGTTGTTCTTGTTGCTATGGTTTATCTCTCTGTTTTTTGTGTTAGTCTTGTTTGATTTACTTTGTTGCTGTAGATCTTTCGAGTGTCCTTTATTCCTTTCTTCCTCTTTGAAGCTTTTAAAGTTTTTTATTTTCTTTTCTTTTAAAGATGTACCCAAACCCAATTGTTTAAATGTTGTGGCTGCTGTGTATGCTTAAATGTAGAATCCGAAAATATTTGCTTAAAAAATATTTACATACATAACACTAAATTCCTATGGAAGAATACATGAAATTTACTTTTAGTAGTACTAGCTCTAGTGGTAGGGTTGTACCTATGGGTGATCAAATCATTAAAAGGTGTGAACATTTTAGATATCTCAGGTCTCTTATTCAATGTGATGGTGATATAAATGGGGATGTTATTAGTAGAATTCAAATTGGCTAGTCGAGGCGGAGGAATATATCTTGACTTATTATGTGATAGAAAATACCTCTTAAATTTATAGTAAAATTTTTTAAGATGGTGGTGAGATCTGTAATGTTTTATGGCACATAATGTTGGCCTTTAGATTAATGGGTTGTTTGGTTACAAGCAAGATTTAGTTTGAATAGTAAATCCTACAAATCCAGAATCATCAAATCCTTAGATGGTTAAATCGTGAGAAGTATTTTGTATGTAGGTTGATATTTTTTTGTGGTACATAGTGTAGGGCTGTGAAATTAGCTCAAAAAATGATAATTGCTCAGAAATTGATTCTAAGTTTGACTCGTATATAAAACTTGGATTGAAATAAACATGCTGAGCTACGAGCCAAATTTTTTTTATTAAACTTATTTGGAGCCTTCTCCAACTCGGCTCGATTTCAAATCATTTAACATCTTAGTAATGTTAGTTTTGTCGAAGATCATTAATTCGTCGAACATTGACTCCCAATCCATCGAAACATCTCCCTCTAAAAATGTATGCCACTATAGCTACCCCAACCATCTCATAGAAATATTTGTTTCATAACTACTCTGACTGCGGGGGTATGGAGGCCTAGAAACACACTGGTGGAGCGCTCCCGCATACAGAGTACAAGAGGAGGCTAGTAAGACTTACTTAGTTTGCATTAGATGTATGCTAACTATTCCATTGTACTGACATAAACTAGAGAAAGTATGAGAGCCGAGTGTTGTAGAGTTATACAAGTGCACCCATAGGCGGCAGCCGGATCAATTCTGGGTGGAAAGTAGATCGTATGCAACCAAAGTAATTCACAAGATTAATGAGTATAAAATTCAAATAACTATTAAAATTTTTTTAGTCTCTCACTTTCATTAATCATATGTTTTGTAGGAGACCTTCTAGAGGCTCAAGGAGAGCCGATCTCAACAGTCGGGTTGTGGTTCGGGCACATACACGATCCTTCTGAGTACGACCTCTAAAGGGAGTTTGTCGGTGGTATGATTCCTGAGAGTCGATCTCAGCAGTCGAGTTGTGGTTCAGGCACATATCATGATCCTTCTGAGTACGACCTCTAGAGGGAGTTTGTCGGTGGTATGATTCCTGCCAAACATCTAGTACATCTGGTGCTTCCACTTCCACTTCACAAGAGAAGGAGATGCGTCACGAGGTTGTTGTCCAAGTAGCCACCCTGAGATCGGAGATAAGGGCAGAGATCAAAGCAATGTTGCGTTCTGAACTGCAAAAAGGGAAGGAGCCAATGCAGGATGAGAATGGGGATGATGATGATGAGGAGAGAACACACGAGGATGAGGATGATAAGTAGGGGTTATTTTTTTATTTGTTTGTAAAATAAACAATTTATTATAGGCGAACATAATTTTTATTGTGCAGTTGTGCATTTCGTTTGATTTAATTCAATTATTTTATTTTTCTTATATGATTTATATCTAAGTTTCTTACAGCATTTTGCTATGTTTTAATTGCAACGTTACAATTGCAGATGTGTAGATTGTAATGTTGAAAGTGAGTTTTAATTTTTTTTTCCTGATTGTAAAGATTTTCAACCGCTTTTTGACGGTTTTATGACTCTTGATTATACACCGACGGTTTTCCGACGATCTGTCGAAGAAGTGAGGTATGTACAAAGTGCTACAATTTAACTACGATAAAAATTATTGGTAAATTCCCACAGTTAACCCACTGTTGCACGACATTTTACAAATGGAATCACGACACTTTTTTGAATGAAATTCAACAATATTTCTACGAACATATGTGTCAGTTATGTAATTGATTGTCATGCTAAGATCAAACATGACGAGTTTTTGGATGTATTATGATGGTTAATATTCATCGGTAATTCAATTACCAAGAAACATTTTTGCTACCCCGACTTTGTCCCACTAAATCGTCAGTAAATATATTACCTACAGTTTATTCATTATTAATGACAACATTTGACCGTCGTAATAAACTAATTACATTAGTGGTTACAAATCGATTTCAAAGCATATTGGGCAGTGGCTACAATGAACTATTGTGAGAGGTCTAATGTTGGAAGATGAGAGGGTATTCTTATAAGATGAATGCTAAAAGGACAAGAATAACTCTTGAATAACTCACTTTTATTTCACTCTTATACTTCTTGATTGTATTAGGATTGTGCCAACACATTTCAATTCAATGACTACTATTTACTCTTTAGAGTATTCTAATTTTTTTCCATCACAAAAGTAATTAATTATATATTCTAGAAATCTTTAAATCACTCATTTAAAATTAATCTCTAGAATCCTCTAAAATATTCTTCATAAAATGAGACTTTAGAATTTTATGAAATCTGTTCTAAATTATGGGCTCAATAAAAAGACAAAATTTTAAAGATGGCATTTTTTATAAATTAAATAAACACTTTTACCATATTTATATTGCAGAGAAATTACATTCAAACTCAAATGAACAAGCTGTTCAACTTGCTATAGAACAGAAGAAAAGGCTTAACACAGCAAAGAAGACAAGAGTGATGGAACATATCCATAAACAGAGAACTCTTCCCAGCTACAAGGTATTTCGTCATCGTCACAAAACTGACCCAAGCTTTCATGTGAGAGGGCAAACTTCAGAAGACATTTTACTGTATTTTCCACTCAGTTTTTTTTTTGTCTTCTTTTCCATGGAATATTAAATGAAAACTTAGCACATAATTTCAATCATGTGCGCCCTAAAGGCAAAAAAAATCTCCACGCAATCAGTCGGCTTTTCTTTCCCCTTTCTCGCCAACTAATTATATGTAGTTGCTGTATTATGAACTGTACATTGTTTGCTAGCATCAATAAATGCGGAGCGAGATCAGAGAAGCCAAACTAGGTCCTATTAATAAAGTGTATAATACGAAGGCCTTGCTCCTTCACTCGTTCCTTTATGCTGGGCATGCACCGCAAGAGCAAGGTAACAAAGATGCTCTCTCTCTTTCTCTCTCTCTGCGTGTGTGTGGATGTGTAAGCTAATCTCGCTTATCTTTTGTAATTGGTTGTTTTGTTGCAGTAATTCAAGGAAGTTTAACGGACAAAGTAAACTTACTATCAAAATCCTTGAGAGGTAATTTTATCAGCCAACCAGGAACTACTGCTAGAGGTTTTTTAAATGAATTTTCAAGTAAATGATTTGAGCAATCTTTTTTCATCTGAAATTGAACTATTTTCTTAAAAGTTCAACTTTTTTAACATTTAAGATACATTTCTTTCCATTGCAACTTACTTTTTCTCTAATAGCCATATTCTAATTCTTATCTGTTCCATGATAATTTTCTGGTCCTTTCCTGTAGAAATTTGTAAAAGAAATTATAAATCTTCATTCTACGACCACCATATGTTCTGTTTAATTTGGTTGTTTGCTATTTTTGGTGCTCACAAGACCTCTCGCCTATTCTCCAAGCCTCATTTTGAAGTCCAGAAGACTTCTTGCCTTTATTAAGCACGTGTGTTAAATTTGATAGTATAATTTCTTACATTTTTAGTGAGATATGCATATATTTTTCCTTCCAAACCAATTTATTTTTCTCAAATTAAGAAAAAATAAAGAAAATTATAACTATAGATTAATAAATAAATAAATTTGCTGGCTAAATATCTCTCCATGTAAAACAGAGAAGAGTGAAGTGTCTTATACAGTTTTCTTCCATATAGCAGACACTACAAGGCGAGCAACTCTCACAAGAAGCAGCATAAAGCCGGCCAGCTGAGATCAAAGGAGACTTCCGTTGCAATGGAAATCGATCAGCAGCATCAGCCTGACAAAACAGACAGACAACAGTCCATGTTTCCTCCACCACCACCACCACAGCTAAATCGCTCCCTGAAACGCCTCCTGACCATCACCAACTGTCTCCTCCTCTGCCTCGGAAACGCCAGCGGGCCCTTACTCCTGCGCATCTATTTCCTCCATGGCGGCAAACGTCAGTGGCTTTCCGCTTGGCTAGAAACAGCCGGCTGGCCCCTTCTTCTCCTCCCCCTCTCCCTCTCCTTCTTCTACAGGCGTCGCTGCGACCCCTCCGCTCGAACCGTTCTCATCACCCCTCGCCTCATCATCGCTTCTGCCTTCATCGGCCTCCTCACGGGCGCCGACGATTACCTCTACGCCTACGGCCTGGATTTCCTCCCCGTATCGACGTCATCTGTTCTCATCGCCACGCAGCTGGCTTTCACCGCGGTGTTCGCGTACTTCATTGTGCGGCAGAGGTTCACGCCATTTTCGATTAACGCGGTGGCGTTATTGACTGTGGGGGCGGCGGTGCTGGCGATGCACGCGAGCAGTGATAGGCCGGCTGGAGTGAGCGTGAGCGGGTATTGGAAGGGTTTTGCGCTGACGCTTGGTGCGGCCGCGCTGTATGGATTTGTTTTGCCGATGGTGGAGCTGACTTATGCGAAGGCCCGGCAGCCGGTGACTTATACGTTGGTTATGGAGATGCAGCTTGTTATTGGTTTCTTCGCCACCGCATTCGCAACCGTCGGCATGATCATTAATAAGGATTTTCAGGTGCGCGTCTGCCATGTGAAAATTTTTTTATTTGTTGCGTCTGCCATCGAATTATGCTATTATCTGTTGTTAATTTTAAGAGAGAAATTCAAAGCTTCTGGATATTAAATTAATTAGTTTGTTAAATTTTTCTGTAAATGAGTAAAATTATGAAAGTACCCTCAGATATTTTGTATCAGGATGGGAATATTTTTATGAAAAATTTCGTTTATTTCACGATTTATAGTTGTTATTTCTCAATGCAATTAAATTATTTGGTATTACATAAGCAAATCAGTAGATAAATACAACTAGCTTATTGGTTAATGTAACTCGGTCGTTATATTAGACATTCATAATTATCATCGTAACAGAGAAGGCTTTGATTGTTTGATAGTTTAAAATTATTTATCAAATAATTTAGTTACATTAAAAAATAATGCATGACATATCAGAATTTGACCTTTGCCATAGAATACTCCAATCCTGATATAAAATGTACCAGGGTATACTAAAACAACTTATTTACTAATAAATTTATTAGTATTTATCCAATTTTTCGATTCTTATGTAAATTATTCATCTATAACTTAAGTTTGAAATTAAAGATACCATCATATTTGAGAGAGGGTAACCATATTTGTGAATCATGAGCAAAATTTGATTAAGATATCATCAAGGCACTTAAATGCGTATATACCATCCGAATGAGGGGACCCTCTTCTGGCTGTTCGATCGGAGTGGTTTGGATTCTTTTCTGATTTATAGCACAGACTCTATAAATATAGCCCTGATCTTGAGAGAATGCTAGGCCAACCAGAAGAAGATCAAAGCTTGGGAAGGAACTAAAGCTCATCATCGTTTATGCACCAAATATTTGACGAATTCCTCAAGCTCCTGGAGCAGCTGACCACTGCTGAACAACACATGTAGGTGGTCACTATCTGCCACCATCTGCTCCTTGCAGTAAAGTCTCTTTTAGAGGCATAACATGCATTGCAAAATCCCATCTTAGATTGTGGAATATAGAAGCACCTTGCGGAGCAATACATCATCTAGTACATCGTACAACTATACACCTCGAAGACGGTGTAATAACACACCGGATGTGGTGCAATAACACACCTAATGACAATGTAAACAACACAACTCACACATGGTGCAATGACGTCTCCCGAATAAAGTGTAACAGTGCACTATAATTACAGTGACTTTCTCCTGACCAATAAAGCTCCCGACTCTTGCCTTTACGACATAAGGACGTCATCACAACTCACCATTACAACCTATGTGATTAACTTCGATGTACGTCGTCCACAACTTGTGTAGTGTAGCTCTCAACTCTAACGTTTATGACTTGCATGGTACATATTTTGTGCAGCTCCTGACTTAAGCCTCTATGACTTGTGAACGTCATCACAACTCACCACCACGACCTTTATCACCAAGTTCGACCTACATGGTCTACAGCTTGTGCAAATCTCAATTCTTTCTTTGCGACTTACATACATTATCAGACTTAGTAGACCTCTCAACTCCAACAGTTGTGCTCACAGATGTTATCACAGCTCATGCAACTTCAACTACGATCTCTTCGACCATCGAACATCGATCATCATAGCTAGTACAACCCTCAACTTCGACCTTTGTAGCCCACATATATGTTACAACAACTCGTTCATTTCTCAACTCGGCCCAATACGACCTACAGACATTATCACATTTAGTGCAGCTCTTAACTGTGTCATCTGCGGCCTATGGAAATCATCACAGCTCATAACTACAACCTATGTGACCTACTGTGACCTACATAGTCCACAACTTATGCAGCTCCCAACTCTGACCTCCGTGGCCTACATACGTTATCACAACTCTTAACTTCGGTTTCTACGACCCACGAAAGTTATCACAACTCGTCCAACTCAAAACTCTGACCTTTTCGGCTTATGTACATCATCATAGCTAGTGCAGCTCTTAGCTAAGGCCTTTGCGGCCAATGAATATTACAATAGCTCATGCATCACTTAACTTTGACTTCTAAGACCTACAGTTGTCATCACAACTAGAGCAACTCTCAACTTCTACCTCTGCGACTCATCAACATTATCATAGCTCGTGCAACTCTCAATTCCAACCTCTGTGGCTAATGGACGTTGTCACAACTTGCCATTATGACTTACATGAACAATTATGACGTAAGTAGCTTCTTACTCGTGCATCTTCTTGACTTCTGCCCCTACGACCTACGACATCATCACAACCCACCATTATGACTTATGTGACCAACTACGACATACAAGGCTCACAACTCCTACAACTTTCTGCTATGAGCTATGTGATCAACCGACACTCCTGAAGCAATTATTTACTACACACACGATCATATACTATCATGACTTTTTCCTGTAACTTATACGATAAGCTGAAGTTACAACCATTGTTTGCAATATTCACGGTGAATTACTGCCTTCATAGCAATCTTCTATGACTCTTCCATCATGTTATCACTGAAAACTACATTCATTACAGCCAGACCACGACTATTATTGATGAGCTACTGTTGTACCTTTACAATGATCAACTTTATAACTCTTTTCTAATTCAAAAGAAGAGTTGACACGTGTGTGCTGAATTCTCATGCAACGTTAAATTAATAATTTATTACTCTAGTGCCACAAAGTGTCTAGCTTGCATCAGCATGAATTTAAAATGAATGTAAGATCGAATGATTATATCTGTATATATAATTATTTGAATTTATTAAATACATAAATTTAAAGTACATATATTATTTTTAGGAAATATTATCAAATTGTTATTTTAAAGTTAGCTATAAAGTTATTGAGACTTTATGCTATATTATTCATATCAAAGTGTAAATGCCAACAAAAATAATAGCCTACTAAGATTGTAATAAAATTTGATCATGTTTTTATTAAAAAAAAAAAAAATCTGTTAAAAATGATTAAGAAACTATTAGTTGCATCATACTCTCTGAACGACCATTATTATTTGACTTTCATTTTTAATTTATGTATATTTGAAATTTTTAATGGATGCCTTTTCACCTTTTAAAATATTTAAATCTACTAAACTCATCTTCTAAATTTTCCCCTACAATGAATATTCACTTTTAATGTTATCCATAAACCAAAAAATGGTGATTGAATCATTTTTTATTACGTGGCTCGATCACATGCTTCGCATAAAAAACTCTCTGTAAATTTAGGTTTTTTTTTTCCAAAAAGAGCGGGTCTTAATTTAATATTTTGTGAAGATTTTTTGTTTTTTTTTTTTGTTTTCGGAGAGGTTGACGTTTACTAATGCACTGTACCATGTCCCATCGTTAATTTCTCATAATGCATTTAATTTTTTCTTCTCTCTTCTAATGTTTAATTATTAAAAATATATATTAAATCATACACGTATTCAAGGCTACAGAAAAGATTAATTACATATTAATTTTTCTCGAAAGAAGTTTAATAAATCAACTAATTATCCTCAATCGCCGGCATGACTTCTAATACAGGCACTGTCAAGAGAAGCAGCCAATTTCGGCTTGGGAGAGACGAAGTACTACTTGGTGCTTATTTTTGCGGCCATCTTATGGCAATGTTTCTTTCTTGGCGCAGTTGGCGTGATCTCTTGTGTGAACACGCTGCTCGCCGGAATTCTCATCGCCGTCTTCATCCCTGTGGTGGAAGTCTTGGCCGTTATCTTCCTTCACGAGAACTTTAGCGTCGAGAAAGGCATGGCTTTGGTTCTCTGTCTCTGGGGATTGGCTTCTTATTCTTATGGAGAGTACCGAGAAGCCAAGGAGAAGAAGGAACGAGCTGTTTCTCATCAGGTTCAAACTTCAACGGTTTGATTAATACGTGCGGTATATACATATAAAGTTAAATATAACTTGCTCTTAATTTGCACTATCGTCGATATATCTGGTTATAGTTTATTTACTGAGATTTTGTCTTTGACCATCTTGATCAGATAAAGAGAAATATTTTGATCCTCAAGTTAGAGGAGACTGTACGTAATGATAAAGGGATTGCTTTTTATGATAAGAAATTATGTGAAGATAAGTTGATGCAAATTAAATTATAATACAACAATAGCAACAATAAGCCTTTATCGCACTAAATGGGGTTGGCTAAATTGAATCCTTTTTTTCCATTGAGTACTATTGAGTGTCATATTTTCATTTAATTCTAATAAAATAAAGTGATTTTTTATAATATTCCGTAGTCTTTTTATGTCTACCTTTGACTTTCTTAACATAAACTGAATCTAAAATACATCAATTTTGCAAACCAAACAATCAAATTATTGATGTTTAATGTGACCAAACCATCTAAGACAACTCTCTTTGATATTGTCCGCCACTTAAGCCATATCAACCTTTGTCTACCACTGGAGTCATATCAACCATTTCATAGATAGATTTGTTTCACATTTTGTCAATAAGTGTCAAGCCATTCACGTAATAAAGCATTCTCATCTCAGCAACACTTAACTTTGTTCTATGTTTCTCTTTTAAAAGGCCAACATTATGCTCAATAAAGAATTGCAGGTTTTACCATCTTCTAAAAATTTCCTTCAAGTCAAGCAACACTTTTCTATCAAACAGTAAGCCTAATGCATTCCTCCACTTCAACAAATCAACCTGAATTCTGCTAATAACATCTCCGAGATATTTAAAATGTTCACACATTTTAATGATTTGATCACCCATAGTTATAAAGAATTCATGTCATGATTTTTCAAAAAAATTTATGATGGTTGTCGACTATCCCTCTATTTTTCATATTCGAGGCTTGAGACCCGATAATAATAGCATTAAATATAAATTCTTTCATCTACACCTTTTATTTTAGAGTAAACCCAATTCATGTAATTACATGTAAGTCAATTCAGAAACAAATTATACGATATATTTTTTTTTATAATTTTATTATTACGTTGAAGGAAAGTTTACCGCCAGCCCCTGAAACATCGAAGGAGTTCTTAAGCATATTTGGTATAAGAAATTAAATCGTGGAATTTATTTATACCCAGCACGTGCATATATATGCCTCAAAGTTGGAAACAATAAACCATCTGATGAAAAAATAAAAAAATAATAATAATTGGGATAAAACTTCATAGCTATCTCTCTTTCATGCACAAGACCACAGACCATAATTTGGTTGTTGACTGTTGCAAAAAAGTGTATCAATAATTCTAAATGAGTAAACTTTTCATCTGAAATTGCTTTTCTCATTTTAGTAGAGGACAATTAAGACATGATGTTGATTAGATGGCTCTTTTTTTGTCAGCTACCCTCATTCAAATTGATACTTGAGCACATTTTTGTAAATTGATATTTGAGCACAAGTAAATTTACATCCAAGATACTATGAAAATTAAATAATTCATTAGGCTTCAAAAAAGTCAAACAGATGCCTATACTTCATAAAAAAATTGAGATATGGAAAAATGTATATGTTGAATCTAAAAATGTCCCAGAGACACGCAAAGAATGCAAAGAAATAGAGCACGAAAAGGAGGGAGAGGGGAACATAGAAAGCAAAGGCATAGTATAGAACATTAAAATCACGTAACCTTTATTTAAGAAATGAAATCCCTATTGGGTGTACAATTGTATTATGTACTCCTAGATTTCATAAATATAATGGGGACATTTTGGTTAGTTCGTAAATATGGGGTTGTGTGCTTGGGAAGTTGCCCGACTGGATGGAGCCGGTTACTCTAGGAGGCGTCCGGTCGACCAGAGCCTATGATGGCTCCACCAGGTCCTTTTGGAGTCAAACGATCATTGACTGGGACCTAGAGGCACTACCGAGTGGGCTATCTTTTGAGAGCTTATGCTTGAAAGGACGGGCTGGACAACTCCGGCTGGTACCGGTTGTTTTGAATCTAGAAAATTTGGCTTGATCATCTGGCCTGGCTAGAGAAAAAGCTGCCAGACTTGTCAGCCAGAGTCTTGTGTTGGTGGACATTTATGAGAATGATTGAATTCTATTTGTCTCAAGATTATCTTTTTTACGACTTGTATGAGTCGGCTGGCAAGACGTGAGATTTTGGATCTTTCTTAGTTGGTCCCAGGATGCCACATCATCTCTTATCCTATCATCAGATTTTTTTTAAGATTCGTGCTGACACATTTTTTATGTACATAGTTAAAGCTCCCATATTCTCTTAAGATTATGCTGACACATTTTTTATGAGCATATATCTTATTTGATAGCGACAACTGCTACAAGAACAAAGGAATCTTAATTTTTTAAAAAAGTTACTGGTATTTATGACTATTTAAGATGTAATAATTGAAAATACAACACAACTTATTCAAATTTGCGTCGGACAAAACCGACGAAAACTTAGGCAAATTCGACGATAATTTGGTGGGTTCGTAAAATTTGTGTCGGAATGGTCTTTGACGGTAAAACTGAGGTCGATAATGCAATTTACATCAAATATGCGTCGAAATAGTTCGACGATAATTTTTTATGCGTAAAACAGTTTCCTAAATTACCGTCGAATTAGTGTCATAAAAATCAACGCTAATGCAACTCAACCCTGTTACAAAAAAAAAAAAAACTTTTAGATTTGTACAACCTGCACAAAAAAAAAATGCTAATGATCACAACAAAAAGCAAAATTATATCACAAATGAATACTGATATTAAAATATAACATAATGTAATAATTACTAATCTAAATTATCAAAAGTTTACATTTATACTCTCAATTTAAGTTCAAATATTTCAGAAACAAAAAAAAAATACATAAAAACTCCTCCTCCTCCTCCGCTACAACACTCACTGGTCGCTTGCCCCCGACAATTTTCCATGCTCTCTGTCAAGCATGCTACACTCCCAACAATTCTTTATTGGCCTTCATGCATATGACAGAGCTCCCCATTCATAGCAGTGACATGCCTGTTAAGCTTCTTAATATCTGGGTGTGAAGAGCTGGTATCACCCACAAAAGCACGAGATATTTCAAGCTTGAATGTTGTGCTCTTCGTACCAACATCGTAGACCCTCCACTTCTTCTTCCCCATCGCCTACGTCCATAGCTCAAACTCAGACTGCGTAGAGGTCCTAGGGGTTTAGGAGGCCAGCAACCTCTCTCGGAGCTGCTCGTTCTCTTACATAATAAAAACCAATGATTAATTGTCATTTTAAACAT